TAACTAATTTACTAATTGCTGTATTTAGAGAGGGAGTGGGGAAAACTATCTTATGCATACTAGTGATGAGTAAATGCCTCCTTTTCCCCTTGCTTGGGATTGGGCTGGTCTTGAATACTTTGAGGCTGGGATAGGGGTGTGTTTGTGTAGCCACTTAGTGGGACTGTGTGTGTGTGTGTGTGTGTGTGTGTGTGTGTGTGTGTGGTGTGTAGCCACTTAATGGGACCAAATGTATTTTGCTGTGTCTTAGGAAAAATGAGTTTCTCCTTTGGTCATTGCCAAGAATCATTCTCCATGGCATTCATTGTGTTATTAAAAGCATTCATTAAATGTTACAGTGAAAAAAAGCACTTAGCTTAGTCATGGTTCTTGAGTTTAAGTTTGGGCTACACCACTTACTAGATGTATGACCCTGGCCAAGTAACTTCACAGCACACGTAGGTCTTTTTTGGGCAATAGTCAACCCCCGGGCAGAAGTACCATAAATCTGAGGGATTATACAGATGTCTGAGGAAGAAAAAGTTCTACTAATCATATTATCTAGTTTTATCTAAGGGAAGACTTGTTTTGATGGTTCAAGGGATAAGGTGTCAGTCTTTTCCATTTTTTTGTTGTGTTTAAATAAAGCTTGTCCTATATTCAATGTATTGTTAGCATAAGTGCTTGCACAGGAGTTGAGGGCCCTTTTATCTTCTATTGAGACCTGGATATAAGTTTTATTCTGATTTCCCAAGAGAAACCCTAGATGGTGTCATGAGCCACCAGTGTGACAGTGTGAATTGTGCTGTTCAGTTGTGTCCCAACTCTTTGTGACTCTATGGACCATTCTGTCCATGGGGTTTTCTTGGCAAGATACTGGAGTGCTTTGCCATTTCCTTCTCCACTAGATTAAGGCAAACAGAGGTTAAGTTACTTGCCCAGCTACGAAGTATCTGAGGTCAAATTTGAACTCAGGTCTTCTTGACTCCAGGCTCAGCACTCTATCCACTGAGCTACCTAGCTCCCTCCTATGAGTCACTCCCAAAATGGAAAGTGGTCCATATAAACCCAGATGTTAGGTTGTGATTAAGGATTTTATCTGTAAAATGGGTATCATATTTGCATTATCTTGCATCATGAGCTATCAGATATTTCAAACATGATGTTCTGTAGCTATATCAAACTCAATATCCAAAACAAACTCATTTTCCTCTTCCAGACTTCCCCATTATTACTGCAGCACCCCTGTAGTTTCCAAACTTGTTGTCATACGCTCACAGATTTTGAGCCATAAGGGATCACTGAGTTCACTTACTCCTACCCCTTCACTTTACAGTTGAGGAAACTGAGACCTATCAAGGTTAACAGACTTACGCCCTTCCACCAGTAATAAGTGGCACCCAGGATTTGAATCCATGACCATCGACTTTTACCTTGGACTACTGCAAAAGCTTCCTAATTTGTGTTCCTGCCTTGAGTCTGTCCCCACTCCAATCCATCCTCCACTCAGCTGCCCGAGAGGTTTACCTTGAGCATAGGCTCACCCTCCCTAGAAACTCTTCAATAAAGGCTACTTGATTATTTGCAGTTCTTCTGGCGCAGGCCTGACTTCAGGCTGGTCCAGTGATTTAGGCTCAGCATTAGAATGAAATGAGACATTAGTAGACCATGCAACCCCCTAACAAAAGGAAGTTTACTCAACAATGGCATGGCAAGGATATTGATTAGATGTATTATTGGTTCACTTAGGCATAGCTCCTCTTACCATGGAGGTTGAGCCAAGTCAGAATAGTGTGTTGACTCACATGGCAATGGGAAATCTGTCAAGCCTCAGGAAGACCAACCACTTGAGAAATAGGCTTTTATGCCTTAGGTGATTAGGAAGTTTCATCATCAGTTCAAGCTTCAGTCTCCTGGACCACTTAGACTTTGAGGCTGGTTTCACTGCCTTTTTAGAGAAAAAATGACCTATGTGGCAGGGCTCTTCCATCTTCTTGGGCCACACATGGGTGAATTTCTAGCTGTGTAATGGGACTTACTGCCATGGATCCCAAACAGATGTCGATATTGATGGTGATCGTACAACAATTATAGATGTTGAAGGGGATTCTTGCCTAATTGTGACATGGCCTAGATAATCTCTGAGGTCTTTTTTTTTTTTCAAATACTCTGATCCTGTTGGAGGAGGGGTCCAGATTGACTTCTACCTGGGACAGAAGGGTTCTCAAATTGTGCAATCACTCAAGAAGGCTGTGAGCTCCTTGAGAGCAGGAACTTTTGGAGGGGGGGGCCTTTCTTTGTCTCCCCAGAGCTTAGCATACCACTTGGAACACAGTAGGCATTTATTGCTTTCTAACTTGACCTGACTTTTCCTATGGTGAAGTTTCATTTCTCTGATCCTTTAAAGTCCTCTAATAAGAATTATTAATAGAAAAAAATCTATCAAGGCTTAGGTGTTTTGTTTATTCCAGGCCACAGGGTAGAATACTGCAGAAGACATAAATCATATAAATATTGTTGGTGGTTTTTTTTTTTAAGAGACAGGAAAAGAAACTTGAGCAAGTCATGTGAGGCAGCTTGGGCAAGACTTCTGATGAAAATCCTCTGGGACAGTTTGCCTCTGCCCTTCATCAACTCAATCAAGACCATCACCATCAAAACTCCTGGGAAAGACCTGCTTCTCTACATAACTGTCAGCACCACTTCATTCTGGGGCTGGTCAGTTTCTATAATGGAAACCTGTCACCCTGGCACAGGACAGAGGAGTAAAAATCACTGCCTCATCAGATTGCTTTATGCAGTGGCATAAAAAAAAAAAGATCCAATCTTTCCATCTTCAACAGTTATTAAATTTCTCTGGCTACATCATTGCATTGCAAAAGGATAAAAGCAGCCTGGCACGTACCCCTCAGTTCAGAGGGGCCATCAGCAGTTCCTTCAAAGCTGAAAAAGAAGAAAAATGAAGAAGAAAGAAGACCAAAACATCCAGTGAAGTTCAGTCTTTCCTTAGAGCTACAAATCAGTGTTTAGTTCCAGGTCCTGAAATTCTTCTTGGAGCTAGAACACAATCATCTTCAGGTGGGGAAGTAACCTGCCTTCAGAGAGATTTATCAGCAGGGATGATCTACAACAGCCAGTCCTAGCGTTTTATCAGCCCCATAGTCAAGAGATCCTTACATCTGACTGACATGACCCTCACTCTACTTTAAAGTCATTTTTTTCTTATTCAGTGATCTACAGACATGAAAGACACAAATTTAGAACGATAGGATATAAGAGGGAGCTCAAAACTTGAAACTATCTTATAGTATGGATGAGGAAACTGAGGCCTAGAGACGAGACTTACCCAATTCAAACCCAGGTCTTCTTTGATTCTTAAGCTAGGGCCCACTTCAAGACCCTGCCTACCCGATCTTTACCTCCCTCAATTAAAAAAAAAAAAGATTAAAAATGCTTTCTCATCCTGCTATTTAAAATAGCAATGAGGTTCAGTCAAGGACCTCTCCAGTCATTTAGAACAAGAGGAAGATTCTTCTTACCCTCCATAAAACAGTATACTGGCTAGTAACAAAGCTGGGGTGGTGCATAGAGCCTTGGTCTTGCAGTGAAGAAAACCTTCGGGCCAATCCAGCCTCAGACAAACAGCTGTGTGACCCTAGTTATGTTGCTCAACCTCTCCAGGCCTCAGTTTCTTCACCTGTGAAGTGCGGAGGGGGTCGGACTTAATGATCTTAAGACCCCTATGCTTTTGGAAACTGACGTTTTCCTTTGTGTGTAAAGTTACTGAATCTATAATCTCAACCCAAAGTGGGGAAGGGGAAACCATGGGATGTCTACCATTCCGTTGCTAGATCTGGAAGGAACCTTAGAGGTCATTTGGGCCACTCTCCTTATTTTATAGATGAGGAAAACGAGGTAGAAGGAGATGAAGTGACTTGTCCAAGGGGGTCACACTGGCAGAATTTGAATCCATGTCTTTTAATTCCAAAGACAATGCTCCTGGACCTCCCCCCCCCCATTTAATATAGGGTACTGTTGGACCAGGAGCTTTGGAAGAGAATCAGTGTGTATTGAGGATTTGGGGGGAGGGGAACAGGAGAATGAAGCCCTCCCGCTCTCTCTCTCCCTAGACCCCCTCCACTCCAGGCCTGGTGCCAGCTTTTACCTGCAGGGAAAGGGAACGCCTGTGGCCGCCCAGGCGCTCGCTGCTCTCTGCTCTGTGTGTGTGTGTTTGTGTGTGTATATATGTGAGTGTGTGTGAGAGCCTGTGAGTGTAGCTGTGCGCGCACTCGCTCCCTCCCTCCCAGCTTGGCTCGCTCGCTCTCTCGTTCTCTCGCCCGCCAGCCGCCTGGTTCAGACTCGCTCTCGGTCTCAGGGCGGGAGGTTCCGGGGAGAGCAGCCCCGGGAGCTCGGCGGCTCCAGAGCGGCTACCGTCTGAGCATTGTGCGGCGGCGGCGGCGGCCACTTCGGTTCCGAGTCCCACCTGCTGGCGGCCCACAGAGAAGGAGGAGGAGGAAGCAAGGGGAATAAGGAGCCGCAGCAGCAGGAGGAAACCAGGTCCTTCCTCCGGCGCACACCTACCTCCCCCCAGGGCTTTGCAATCCTCTGCTCCCCCCCGCCCCTCTCCCTGGCCCCGGGTGGCCTCGTGGAAGGCGTGCGAGCCCCCCCGCCCCCTCCCAGCCCTCTCCGGCCCAAGGCTGCTGCTGCTGCTGCTGCTGCTGGTGCTGCAGCCCCTCCTGCCCGCTGACCGTGACTGCCGCCGCTGAAGGAGCGAGGCGGAGAGAGAGAGGGGGTCTGTGAGAAGGACCCGGGCAGGCACCGGCGCCTACTGCAATGTGCCGGGGAGCCGCCGCCTCCTGGCCCCAGCCCCTCTGAGCCAGCCTCGGGGGAGTGGAGGAAGAGGACGAGCGGAACGAGGCAGCTGCGAACCGCAGAGACAGAGAGAGGAGAGGAGAGGAGAGGAGAGGAGAGGAGAGCGCGATCGGGAGAGACAGAGGGAGCAAGAAAGCCGGGAGAGAGCGCGGGCGAAGAGAGAAGGAGGAGCAGCAGGGGCAGGGCGCACCATGCCGGGCTGGAAGAAGAACATCCCCATCTGTTTGCAAGCCGAGGAGCAGGAGAAAGGTGAGCGCGCGCGCCAGGGCGAGGAGCAGGAGGAGGAGGAGAAGGAGGAGGGACCTGGAGGGCAGGTTCGGCCCGGGCAGCCTGCCTGCCGCGCCTCCATCTCCGCCTCCGCCTCCTTGCGCCCAGCCCGGCCTGGGACCCGGCTCGGGGCTCGCGATCTCGTTCTTCCACCCGTCTGTCGGTCCGGTGCCTGGAGTCCCTACCCCTCGCTAAGATGGGGGAGGGGAACCGCTGGCACGGGGCGGGGGCGCGCAGCAGGCAACCGAGGGGGACTCTTCCATAATCAACTTTTAATTCGGAGAAAGTTTCCCGTTGCGGTGGGCACAGCCTCCTCCATACCTCCCTGTCTAGGGTGCTGGGGGGCTCCGAGAGGTGTTGGGGAGGGGGCGGGGTCTTTCGTAGTTCTCCAAAGTTGACTTTTCAAACTTTCCCCCTTCTCCTCCTGCTGCTGCCCTCCCCTACACACACCTTGTCCCCGCCTCTGGCTTTGGCAGCAAAGTAAGTTGCCAAGCCCAAAGTTGCTGGAGATTCCTCTAACTAGAAGGATGAGAGTGGGGGCGGGGCGCGCCGGGCCACTGCAGGTCTCGGGAGGGGGGGGTGGTTCGAAGGAGGACTGCGCCTTAGCTGGAGAATTTGTGCCTGGGAGGAACTGGGGGTGAATTACATCCCAGCTCAGTCCCCTTGAATTAATACTGCAGCATTTTTTAAAATTACTATGTATTTTTTTTTCCCTAATGCATGCACTGTGGCTTTGCGGATCTGTTTAGCAGCCAGGCCCTTTAGTTTGCATATTTGCTTTCCATTGATTGGGAGGGAGAAAAAAGTTGAAGGCCTCCTTTTGCCCACTTACAAAGAAAGGAAGGATTTCATTATGGTCATTTTAGTAGTCTTTAGATTGTCTGGAAGAAAGCCAGGGAGTTCAGCTCTGTAACCTGGATAGATGTGCTTTTTGCGCCCGGCTTGCCTGTTTGAGGGTCTATGGAGCAAAAGGTCATAGAGTCATAGGGGTCATAGAGTGAAACTAGATTCTGGGGCTCTGGATTCTAGGATCTAATCAGGTTGCTTACTCGCTGTTATATGTCTAGCAAGGACTTATTCCCTCCCCTTCCCCAAATCTGGCTTCCACCAGAGTTCATTTCAGGTTCCATATGAAATGTAGTCCTTTAAGGCTTAATAGTAGTGAATGAGTGAGAGGAAGGCAATCTGGTGTGAAGATGAAATAGCTAGCTGTCCTTGTATAGCTAGCTCAGAAATTTGATTACTTTATTAATGGTAGTTCCGCTATAGGCCCTATCAAAAGTTTTAAGCTTCTGTAACAATGGTTAGTAATGCAGTACTAATGTGTAACCCTGTTCTTCCCTAGATGACACAGCCAGTCTTTGCTTTATCTGTCAATTAATCAGAGATTTCATTCTTTCCTAATAGTAATCTTTATTTGAGTTTATTAAATGTGTACCTTCATTATTTGGCATGGTTTCTAGCAGGTGACCTTAAATTTGCCAAATCAAAGAAACCCTGTTTAGGAAATTTTGTCTTTCCTCTTAGTAAATCTCATTTCCAAGATAAGGATTTCAGACACAATCGTTTTTTGGCTGGGGGAAGACTTTGCAAGTGAAAGTGTCCTGTCTGGGATTGACTGTCTCTCTCCCATCAGCTAAACCTCATGATACACTTGATATTAAATGTATCAGTTGTTTGCTGAAAACTTCAGCAAGACTGCCAACATGTTTTATAGGAATACTGAAATGGCTGCATTTTGGTATTGTCACAAAGTGCACTTGGATGTCTTTCGGAAAGATATGGTTACTTTGAAAGATGATCACCTAATCTGCTCTATAGAGATAAGACCCAAATTCTTCCAACACACTCAAATCTGAGTCAGAAATTGGGTGTGCTTTCTTATCTCCAACAGGAGTATACAGCTGAACATTTGTTACTAGGTATCTCTTTCACATTAATGTCTTCTCAGCCCTTGTTTATAGAGGTGAATTCCTAAAACAATTAGGAAATGTTTGGTTACTTTATTCATTCTCTGTGTGCCCTCTCATTGGATATTCAACAAATAACATTTATTAGATTTATTATTTTAATCTCTGGTCCACTTTGCATGTATTTATGTGTTGTGTGTGTATTTTAAAACAAACTTGGCCATCTTAATGGTTTTTAATGCTTCCCATCAGTGCCTACTGCTTAAGCTCGGTTTATCGTTTTGGAAGACTTGCTGGGCAAAATCTTGTTATTTGCATTTGAAATCAGATTACATTTTCCCTCTAAGGAAACTAAGGAATATTTTAGGAGCTCATCAATAGTACTGACCAAAGTTGTCCTCAAATATGATTATGGTAGTAAATGACTTAAATGTTGAAATTGGTTAAAAGAATAATGAAACAAGGGGCATACCTTTGGGAAGGGTATTGTTTGGGGGGTGGAACTGACTAAGAAGTCAGTTGCAAATACTGTACAGTGAAATTTAAGGTTGTTTGTTCCAAAAGAGTCCTGCCTATGATTTTTCCAGAAAATGCCCATTTAAGTACTATAAAACCCATTATGGAAACTACCCTAGCATGAAGAATTTTCCTGGAATTTTTATTTAGCTAAACCTCTTATTAAGTCCAATACAGTGTAACACAAGATACCTGCATAAAAGTTACGCTTAATTTAGATTCTGTAAAGGTAATTTTTGTAAGATGAGTTATTTTGTACATCTTTGTATTTGAAAAAATTCCAAGTCATTAAGAAAAACATAATTTTAATATTGTCCTATGCAGAGGATAAAAGAAGCTTTACTGTTCTACATCACAACGATTAAGTACAAAGTAGCCATAGTAACTTAGATTCATCTTGAAGAGGTCTGTCAAGATTTATATGAAGTGAGCTATCACTTTTGTGCAGTGTGCCAAGCACTAGAACAGTGGCTGCTGTAAATGCTGTCACTTCCAAAATGACATGTTAAGACTTACCCATGTAAGATGACATATCATTAAAATTCAGGGCACATTTCCCTGCTCCTCCCCCTAATATTTCTGCCTGAGCTGCTAAACCAAATCTAGTTATGTCACCTGATACACTTTTGTGGTGACATTTGAGCAAATGTTTTAAGAAAAGGAGAATGTTTCTGGAATTTTTTTTCTGCTTGATATCCCTTCCAATACAGTTAGATAAAATAATTTTATTGGCTGCCACCTCTGTCTCATAGCTGAAAATGCCTAGCAGAAATAGTTAGGAGACTGGTTTCAGCAAATAATGATGTTGTTCACTTATATTGTGTATTTTCTCTTCTGGCTTAGGTAATCATGTGGTTTTTTTTTTTTTGAGTAGTACACAAAATTAAGCAGACTATTTAAAAAAGGTATTTAAATATAAACCAGTAAACATACTTTCCGAATTTTATTATTGAAGAGGGAATAGAGAAAAGAACAAAAAAAAAAAAAAGAAAAACCTTACTTGTACTTTTTAGAATATGGTAGCAAATTAATTTTGTCCTATTTTACAATTCGACTAGCATGAATATTATCCTCTTATAGAGAGGACAGTTTTTTTTTTACATTAGCATATATTCATTCTCTATTGCAGAGTCCTTGAATTTTGTAAAGTGAACTTTTTCCCCTCATTAGTTTTAGAAGTCTACTGATGGAACTTTTCTCTGAATTTCTAGAGGATTAATCATAATGTCTGATTAAAAAAAAAGAATTGAAGAGAATTGAAGAAACATTTAATTTTTACATAGATATAAAAGCCCAAGTGCTGCTTTGGAGGAATGCCTTATTTGTTTACTTAGTTGTAGAAAGAGATTTAGTGAAAGTAAGGATCAGCTGACAAAACTTGAATGAGCTTCTTCACTGTGACTAAATAGGAAACTTGTTAAAAAAAAAACCCAACCAGTTTTGTTGTTTTGCAAACATTTACTTAAATAAAGTCATTCCTCTGGTTGGGTAACTATCTGGCTGCCTAATGGCTATTTTTTTTTTCTTTAGATAAAGTTATTTTGCTGTAGTAACTTGATTAGTTTCTTATCTCAAGATAGAGGGGGAAAATCATGATGACATAGCATAAGAAAACTGACTATTGAGTGACAGTTATGTCTAGCCTGCTGTATTAGCTACAGAGAATGTAAACAGGAATTTATTTAAAGAAATTAAGCTTTGAGCAGTTATTTTTGGTTACATTAAAGCAGTTGTACTTAAAAGTAAAATAGAGAATACCGTCAGAGAACCTGTCTCATATTTTGGCTTTTCAGTAAGAAATAAACTCCAATGACTTCCCAAATTCCCTCAGGCATTAGAAAAAGTAATCAAGCTATTGATGCAGATAAATTTCCTTATTAATAAAGAGGTTTACTTGTTTAGGCATGTTGGTAGTCAAAGTATGTTGCCTACTTATGGGAGAGATGAAGTCTCTGTATGAGTATCTGAGGATTAAAATCTTGCTGAAATAATTAAACTTTCTTTCTTATTATGTTTTATTTTCAACATTGATTAGATGCCTAAACTGCTGTTAGAAACAGCCTGGAAAAGAAACAGCTTCAGCCCATGGAGAGGCACACTTCCTAATACTTAACCTTTGAAAAATAAATTAGAGGTTTCTGTGTCTCTAAAATAATTTAAATCATTCAAAATCTTATGAAAAATATTACAGACCCATAAAATATTAATCCTAGGAGGGATCTTTAAAAATCTAATTAGAACTCCTCATTTTATTAATGAGAGGATTGAGAATCAGAGAGGTTAAGTGATTTACCTAAGGTCACACAGTAGGAACAGAGAACCTAGTTTTCCTGACTCTTCTTGGTCCAGTGCCCTTTCCACTCTACCACATTGCCTGTCTTCATAAGAACCTATGCTGAAAAGATAATTAAATACATACTTTGGTAGAGAAGTTAAAAGTAATTAGTAATTGAGGACTATAAAAATAATTAGTTGTCACCTTGCACACAATTTATCAGAAGTTGGCACCTGTCATGTTATGTCAATAGGGATTTTCTGCCTCTCAGAAGATTAGGA